ACTATCCTTACACTTTATCAATTCATTGAAGTTTGTACTTAAAAGACATTTTATTTGTAGTATTAAATCATAAGACATATTCTATTTGTAGTATCAAAGTCACATCAGGATTTTATAATCTAGCGTCTTTGGACCCAAGGGATCTAGAGTTCTATCTTGTTAAAACCTATCCAAGGAAAAACAAGAAAGGGATATTGAAGTAATGGTGTTTTTGAGCCAAATAAATTCGAATATCCACAAGTATAAAAGCAGAACTCCGTATATACCGGAGACAAAATGGCATAGCGAACACATTTTAATGATGCTCAAATTTATATTCAATGCGCTATATTTTTAAAAATATGACTCTGTTTGCTTTCTAAATACAACAAAATTACTGCTTTACCTTCTGTTCAAATAGTTCCACAGATAAATCGAAGTCACAATCGTACTACTTGAAAAAAAAGCTGTTTTTACTGTAGAAATGACAACTTCCCAATATAATTTTCTATTGTCAACACTGCATTACACTTGTTTAGCTCGCGCATGCGCAGTATAAAAGATGGGACATGTTTCCGCTTGAGTAAGACTTCTGGTCCTATTATCTCTTCTGTGGTTCAATGGTTCGAAATGGCTTCGTTGTTGGATTCAAAAATTCATGTAAGCAGAATATAGTTGACAAACGTATTCAAAATGGCGACTGTGAAGGTGCCATTATTCTATTATTTCGCTGCTTCTCGACTAGCTGGGTCAAGCCGTGTTTTAACTTGTCAAACGATTAAAAGTACAAGAACTTTAACACACAGAAATCTTACAACAGTATCTGGCAAGACTTTGGAAGGCAAATTAGCCATTGTTTATACATGTAAAGTCTGTGATGTAAGGTCGTCGAAAGTTTTCAGCAAATTGGCATATAATAAAGGAGTTGTTATAGTGAAATGCCCAAGCTGCTCTAGTCATCATCTAATTGCAGATAATCTGGGATGGTTCGGTGATCAAAACAGGTATACATTATATGAGGGTTCTGAAAAGTGCTTCTTAATGTTTTAGTCTATGCCTGATTGGAAAGTTTGGAAATTGCGCGACGGAGATGTCGAAAATGTAATAGTAAATATATAGAAAGCATAAAAATTGCACAGCTGATATCTCCACCGTGCGATACAAACTATCCACACTGGAATCTACAGTATGACATAAAATATACCAAATCTGTGGCTTTCAGAATGAGATTATAATAAAACATGTCTAAAATGCATGAAGTAGCGTTTCACAACTAGGCGGTTGTGATATATCGATATTTTCGATAAATATCGATATTTCAAACGATATTCAATTTTTCGCATATCGAAAATATCGAAAGTTGTAACTAAACAACTTAATCTCCGATTATTCGGCAGTTATTGTTTTCATCGGTGAAGTTTAGACAACGTGTGTATGGCGGCAATTGCGAATTTATGTGCGTGGGCAATTGAAATTAAAAGCTGAGTTGGAGATGACAGATAAACCGTTGTTAATAAATCTTTGAGACATACCATGACTGGTTTCATGCACTTCTTTTTAACTGTTTGTGATGCATATACATGCAAGTTGACTAAATTACGTTTTCTCATTTGCATAATTCGATATAGTCGATATTATTGTGTTTTTTTTCGATATTGATATATCAATTTTTTCATTATTGCAACTGCCTATTCACAACCCGAATATAAATAGAAAAAGGGACCATGCCCCTGAATGGACAATTAGACCTTAGCTGTAAATACCAGTAAAATTAGGGTCTAAAACATTTTTTCATACCATTACTTGTATTAAAAACCTTCCAAATATTTTTTTAATTACACCTTTTGGGGCCCCTTTAACTGGAGGCCTGGGGTAATTCCCCCCTCAGGGAGTCCCTGGGGCTGGCTATGTCCCTGATCCTGGCTGTAATATTTGATTTGCAAAATTATTTATTACTCAAGTGCCCCAGCAGTATCAAATGACATGCCCTGGGCCAGTGATACAGTAGTCCGAAAACAACCAAGAGCCAATTTATATAGCACTAGAATGGGTACATTCCTGTTCATGCTAGCTCTGCTCATCTTGAGTCAAATGACCAGGGGTCGGTTATTCAAAGGTGGGTTAGCACTTAAACCCTAAAATTTAACCCACTGTTTTGGTTTGTGTAATTTCTGCACTGTATCTGTTTATTTCAAAACTTCAGAGAAGTAAACTTCCTATCGATCCAGACAAGAAATACTTCCAAATTTATAAATGAGCTAGCTGTCGGAAAGTTTGCTTTGAATTTTAGGTTAACCTAGGCCGGGGGGTTTCTGACAACCGGCCCCTGAGGGATAAATCGGATGGATCTGGATTTCACTTATACCTGTACATCAAGGCCAATTATTATATGGGACAATCTTTTCAGGCAGATATAGTTGACAGTCAGTAAACAGCTAAAAATATTTCCATTGCGACAGTATTGCAAACAATATTGTATTGTGTAATGCCCCTAATTTACAGCTGCATGGTATCAAAGTGAAAAATTACACTCTAAGTTGCAAAGAAAGTTAAACTGGCTGTTCTGTTCATATTGGTATGCCACCAATCATGAAATTGCATTGTAGGTTACAAAACGTTTTGAACTCATTGGATATCTATAACTTACTGCAACCTGTAAATTGCAAAGGCAATCACCTGGTGTAACACAATTGACCTAAAGAATCTTGTGGTTTATGTTTAGAAATATTGAAGATATATTAAGAGAAAATAAAGATGCAGTAAAAAGAGAACTGGATGATGCAAGTGTGGAAATTTTAACAAGAAATTTGCTTGAAGAACATCAAGACAAAAACGAACAAGAAACATCAGCAAAACTTGCTCCTGAATGAATTTACTGTATATTATTTTACGGTATAGTGTAATTAAAGCATGCTCTGCCTAATTTCCTGATTCAATTTTTCACAAGTTTGCATTAATTGGCCACCGAACGTTTGGATTAATTTTATCTTAATTAAGCCGGTTTTCCATTAGGTGGATTTTGCACGCGGAGCGGAAATATTTTTCTTTGTCCTGTGATTTCTCGGGTGAAACTAATTGGAAAACACAAAGGAAAATTCCGCTCTGCATGCAAAATTCTGGCTAATACCAGCTTTACAGTAACTTCTAAAGTCAATGGGTTACTTACTCCTGACCTGTACCCCAAAACCGTCACACTACTCCTGACCTATAATCATAACCAAATTTTAATCATAATTTTAACCAACCTTAATCCTAGCAATGAACCCCATTCTCAACCTTAAATACTAATGTAATACTATATGCACCAAGTTATTTTTCAGAGGGCATTTACAGTATACCCCACTGGTATACTCTATTAAATCCTCAGTTTCCTCAGTTTATAAACCTGCCCCGTATTGAAATTTAACAGAAAATGAAAAGGTAAGTCGGAATGCCATTTTCCAATTTAATGGAAAACGCAAAGGGAAAATTGAAATGTCCAATTCCGTTTTTCAATTTCGTAGGAAAGGTAGGAATAATTTGCAATATAATTTTAAAAATCTGGGTTGGTCGTCGTTTGTGTTTGTCTCTTGGGGTGCCCTGTGGCTGTGGTCTGGATGTAAACATCAGCAACCGTTCTGTTTGAAACTTTGAAGATATATTGTTTTACTTTTCATGCTTTTTATACAAGGTAAGATCATTTTATAGATTGCTGAAAGTGAAGTGAAGTTTATTTAGCAGTTCACTCTATTTGTAAAATGATCGTCGATTCTCAAATTTAAAAATTTCGATATGCTGCCTTTGTTTACGTTTAATATTTTACAATCCTTGAATCGACGACTCGATGCCTTTCAGCCTTTGTTTACGTTTTGCTGGCAGGTAAATTTGGATTGTGCGAAAGTGAAAAGATTTTATGTTTAACATCTTATTTCTACAGCGTATACCACAATAACGAAGTTCTCTTTGGAGATTTTAAAAAAATTCGCCTGAGCTAGGCAAGGAGTCTATATATTTTAAAATGTATTTGAATGTTATATTGGTCCCTTCATAGTATATTTTACATGCTGACCTTTCGGTTTATTTAGCAAAAATAGTATTATATTCATTCTTAATAATTCTACATTTTAGGTTTTTCATGATTGAATATTTGTGGCATTGTCCAACATAGTTACATAGAATTGAAGATGAATCGTACAACATATCAAATAATTGTCGGGGCTGTCAAATTGTTGGCCATTCAACAAAGATGAGTCAGTCACATTGGCGGCAGAGAGGAAGAGGAAACCCAAGTCGAGGGAGCCATGGGCGTGGCCAACATAGACATGCAAGCCAAAATAGCCAAGGTAGTTTGGATTAGTTACGTGTCAAATAATTCACACTTCTGGAAAGTATGTCACTTCGGCTACAGAACATTGTTTTCACATACATTACAAATAACAAAGTAGTTAATTTAAATCCGAACATCACAATTCTGAAAAAGAGGCTCTATTAAAATAGCCAATGTGACATACTTTCTGTAAGGGTGTATTGCCACGTACCACAGGCGAGGGTCAGTATACTAATGTATATTATAGTAAAAATATGTCATAAAATATATATTTAAAATGAAATTTACTTGCCTATTTGATAGTGTGTGTTCTTCTTTTATTCCTCTTTTGTTGGGCTAATATTTTCCAAGACTTTGCACTTGATGGTTGCAGCTAGTATATACATATAACATACTAGTAGCAGCCACAACCATCAAGTGCAAAGTCTTGGAAATATTAGTCCAACAAAAGAGGAATAAAAGGAGAATGCACACTATCAAATAGGCAAGTAAATTTGATTTTAAAATATATATTTTATGACATATTTTTACTGTAATATACATTAGTACAGGGACGGATCCAGCATGATCTGGTACGGGGGAGGGGGGTGTGCGCTGCCAACTCTGGTGCCAAGTTGTGTCGGTCATGTGCGCCGCTGCCGCCGCACGCCCATCAACTTGCTTGACTACCGTATTTGAATTGAAATTGTTGTTCACAGTTCACTTATCATCATGTTATTACTCAAATTACTGTTTCTCATTTTGTCTCCAATATTTTTTGCTTTATTATGAAAAATAGCACCCCCCTGGCCATCCCTGCATTAGGAACGGTTCCTTGTAATAATGATCTGCCTGTGGTTGTACATGTGGTGTTTTTGCACGGTGAAATATTTTACATCCTGGCTTTTGCCTCTGGGGGTGTATTTACAGTATGTCAGTCACATTTTTAGGAGACTATTACGCATGGGAAATTGATACCTTTTTCAGAAAGCGGTATCAATTTCCTGTGCGTAATACAAAATGACTGAAAAACGGCAAACTTTGCAGGGCTATATTATCCGCAATTTACAACATTTTGCAACGCAACTTCGGACTATTACTAATGTTGTGATGCTCTTTCAAGCTGTGATGAAATTTTGTCTAGACTTGTCTAGATCAAAATTTTGTTCATTAGGGAATAGGTCCATTCATTTGATGCATTTTTTGAAAATTTAATAAGTTCCTGTATAACTGATAAACTTGCTGTATAATTGATAATGCATCAGCCACCTTAGGCATAAAGAGGCAGGAAGCAACTAATTGAAACGATTGAACACAGAAATGATTGAACGCAGGAACGTGCGGGTATTTGGTCCAATGCCTCAAATGATGGAGAGGCAGAGCTTAATATAATTTCTTTGGGGAGGAGGTTATTTGAGATAGAGACTTTATATTGGTCACAAACCTGCATGAAACTTAGTAGGTGTTTTTGTTATATAGGAAATGAACATGAAACACCTTTTACAAACAGCGAGAAGGGCGGGTCTTTCTACAGAGGTCGAGGGCGTGGCTTCAGCCAGAGAGGTCGTGGCCAACACCGTAGGGGGAATAGAGGGCATCATTCTTCTCGAGGAACTTCTGGGGATGTGAGCAGTTCCTATCGTGGACATAGGGATATGCAAGGTGGACGATCAACACCAAAACCACAACAAAAATTTCTTGACTTTCCATTCATCGAACATCATGAAACTGTTCGCTTACTGCCACAGTTTCGAGTCATGTTTATTTTGCGAGGCCTACCGGGCAGTGGCAAGAGTACCATAGCCGACGCCATTTTGCAACAATACCGAGATCATGCCATCGTTTGTTCCGCCGATTATTATCGTTATAATAAAGATGGCGAGTACGTCTGGCACGAAGATACACTACAAGAAACACATAACAAATGTCAAAGACGAGCAGAGAGATTTGCTGCCTTGAACAAACCTGTCTTAATAATAGGTGAGTCTGATTATACCAAATAGTACGGCCCCTTCTGCTTTTCTTGTTTACAAAAAAGTCTGACAATTGTACTTGTCTACTTCACATCCAATAGGTAGGTGTTGGATGTCAAGCTAGAATGTGTATTTTTTAACCCATTGAGCACCAGTGCTCTCGCATTGTCAACTAGAATTGCCAGTAGGACAGAGTAAAATTATAATAAAGTAGCTTGGACCCATTAAGCCGGTTTTCCACTAGGCGGAATTTTGCACGCGGAGCGGAATCTTACTTTGTCTTCTCTAATTAGTTCCACCCGAGAAATCACAAGACAAAGAAAAATTCCGCTCCGCGCGCAAAATTCCGCCTAGTGGAAAACCGGCTTTAGTGTGCAATACAACTTTGGTTAATCTTGATTACCATAAGACACAGTGGTGCATGTACTGTAACTTTACTGTTTTGATCACTTGCTCTGAGGGCAAGTTGGACATAAAAATTAGTTGCCCTTTTTCATGTTCATCTGAACCTCTTTACAGGGTGTATAAAAACACTCCACCGTTCAAGAATGTCAGCTAAACTGCATACAAATTCCGCAAAATTTGCGGAACATTAACTTAATATGCAATAGTATGGCCTATGGGTGAGTTTGGGGTCTGCTAGTGTATCTGCACCACTAAAATTGTTTTGAGAAGTAAATGTTCAAGTGCAGGAGGGTTGTTTGAAAAAAATACTTTATTTTAAAAATGGCTTGCGCACACTAAATTGGAAGGCTTAACTTAATTAAATTCACGAGGTTGACTCATTTGGAAGGTGGTTTATGAACTATCAGAGTACCAGACAGCTTGATGTAGACTAACGTACTAAAGCAGGAGTAATACGAGCACAAAGTTGCTGCAACTTGCAACAAAATCTGATTTCTACGCATGTTAATTGAAAATGTTTACACATAAATTACAAATCACGAGGCAACACGTGTCAACATTTCTACTTAACATGCCTTGAAATCAGATTTTGTTGCAAGTTGCAGCAATTTTGTTGCTCGTATTACTCCACCTTAAGTCCAATGCGCAACCCATAAAACTTGGACTTTTTGCCGTAAATTTAGCTGTTCACGCACGCGCGCATGACTGATTTATGCATGACTGAAGCCCCGTTTACACTACGCTCGATTTTTGGTACCGTACCACTTTTTTGGTTCTTGGACTACCTAAATAGGAAGTCCAAGAACCAAAAAAATGGTACGGGTGTAAAAAGTGGTACGGGTACCAATTTTATCCGTACCGTACCAAAATTGAGCGTAGTGTAAACGGGGCTTGAGAGGTCGCGCCTTGGACTCAATGTACATCACATTGTCTGGTACTTTGATAGTTTATAAAACACCTTCTAAATATGCACCCTATTAATGAATTATAAATGACTGCAGTCAAAGTCTGGCTTGCTGCAGTCTGCATGCAGAGTGACCAACCAACCGAACCTACCAGTCCACCAACCAACTGACTAATAAAACGATTGACTAAATTTATTTAAAAAACTCATTAATAATTCAGGAGCAAAACACAAAGAAAAATCATAAGCGTGTCGTATCTTTATATGTGATAAAAAATCATGTTAATTTACATAAACTTTAGCTTTGATTTTCTCGGTTTAGACAAAGTTTATTTTAAAAATTACTTCGCTAATGTACTGTTCAGAAGATAGGTCGTTTTTTAAGCCATTTAAAGTACTTATTTAGTGCTTTAAATAGTACTTATTTAACTTTGCCAATAAACATTAAAACACAGAAAATACATATATGGACAATGGCAGGGAACACGCTACAGCTTACGCCAATTACAGCGGCCCTTACATATAAGATACGGCATCACAAACACATTAAACTAATAACAACACGATACTTCACAGGACAGATTACAGGACTTGTTACAGGACAAACATATTAATTTCCATTTTGCCTTTGGCAGTACATTCCACATTCTGGTACATCTATTTAAATGTTCATTCGGTTGGCACACGATGCATGGAAAGAGGATTTTAGAATGAATTTTGGTTTTGGTCAGGTCTAAACCATGATTTTTATTTCTAGACAATACAAATGTGACACACTCGGAAGTGGAAACGTACATCAACTTAGCCAAACAATATGGCTATGTGGTTGTTTTAGTTGAACCAAAGACGCCCTGGAAATTTGAAGCTCGGCAGCTGACGGCTAGAAACACACACAATGTCTCATTTACAAAGATATGTAGAAAAGTCGGGCAGTACGATGAAATCTTGCCTCTTTATTTTGGATGGTTTGTATCGCCTGCAGATTATACAAGACTGCAGACAACGGCTAAAGACATTTTATGGAAATGCTTACAAATTTCAGATTTTCAACAATGCATCAAGGCATTCTCAGGTGACCTGACAATCACAGATTTCATTCTAGAGCAGAGTATTTAATATATAGATCATCGCTATGCCCATGCCCCAAATCCTGATATTTAGTTACATACTGCACCGTCACCTTGAACTTGTGGTTACAGCTCAACAACTGGACTCTGTATCACAGAGCCGCAGGTTCAATTCCTGTGTGCCTGGTTTAAAGTCTAACTGAAATGCACAAACTTTATACTCGAAATTGCCTTCCACAAAATTCCTTTTACAAAATCCTTTCAAAAACGAGGATTTTAATTACCAATTGGGACATGTTAGGGGCTGTTCAAATAAGCCCGGGCTAGCCGGCATGAATCTTGTGACGAAAATTTTTGCCGACCATAAAAATTACCAGTACTCTATGTACTGTTACTGAAATCAAACTAAGCTACTTTGAAATGTCATTTCCCCAGGCCAGCCCGGCTACATATGAACAGTCCATACTATATACTTGTAAGAACAAATTTAATGCTTTAACCATACTTAATCTGCCTTTGTCTATTGTTTGCCTTTCTTTGCTATTTGGCATTGTCTAAATCTAATTCCGGATAGTTGTATTTATGAAGGGGATGTGTTGAATTGACATTATTTCTATATATTATATAGGCCATTCATATCCGAAGTTCACAGTTCACAACGCGTTGTCTTACTACTCAATCAAACATTCTGATCGCCAAGACTATCATGTCACAGCGTGTTTTTCACCCCGAGGCAAATACCTGGCTGGCTCGCCGTATCACAAATCTCCTGCAGTTGGGAAAGCTTTGGGTGAAATTTCACAGTTGTCGATCATCGGATGTGTGATCACAAATGACACATTCAGCGCCCGCGTGTCACTTACTAAGAAACAGCGTGCATTGTGGATGAATGATAATCAAACTGGACAACAGCAAAGAAAGAGAGGTACATGCAGTAAAACAAATTAAATTTGAGCAATACTGGAAACCAGTCTGTTGCTACTGACTTGAGCACCTATTTACATGGAGGTGGGGTAACCCTCAAAAAATACCGAGGGTTTACATCAGTTACAGGATTACTCTACCACTAGAGCTATTATGTTTTGGACGTTTGGTTGCTGAACTTCAATGCTGTGGTCTTTTTAGTTTTTGTGTTATTGTACACAAAAACATAGCCCTTCTGCATGCTAAGCCTATCTGCTTAGGGACGGACCATTTGATTTTTCATGGGGAGGGG